TAACCCTAACCCTAACCCTAACCCTAACCCTAACCCTAACCCTAACCCTAACCCTAACCCTAACCCTAACCCTAACCCTAACCCTAACCCTAACCCTAACCCTAACCCTAACCCTAACCCTAACCCTAACCCTAACCCTAACCCTAACCCTAACCCTAACCCTAACCCTATAGTTATTGGAGCATATCGGCATACGAGGGTTAACGGCATAGTTTTAATATGCTTAACAACCAAAACAACGGCTACAAAACACCGTACGCTCCGTATAATTATTTTTAAAAAGGGGCAAATAAATAAGGTTTTAATTACCGCTTTATTGGGAATCGATAACCTTTTGCAACGGAAGCGCGTTGCAAATACCCATGTAAAGCGAAAAGGAAGCAATGTCCGTTTTGGGGGTAAGTTTATTAAAATCGAAAGCGTTGCGGCGGCGCTTGTTGCGCGCTTTACGCTTTTTTTTGGCGGAGGTTTTTTTGCTGCGGCGGTTAAAACCCGCCGGGGGGTTACCGGCAAAACGCTTGCAGGAATTTTAAAAGGTTGCAAGCGCAAAAGGGCCCGATAAACCCGCGGCATTTAAAAGGTTTACCGGAAGGTTACCGGCAAAGCGATTGTTAAGGATTTAAAGGATTAAAAGCTCTGGCAAATCCGAATCCGGGTTTAATTAAACTACGATAGCTAAAAAAAATACCGAAAGGTTGCTAGGAAAAGCTAACGGGCCGGCTGGAACCGAAAAACCCAAAGCAAATACCCAAAGGAACATTACCTTCCTTACGTAATTGGGTACGAAGGATAACATTTGCAATTACCGGTTAAGTCCAAATGTTTAAAAAGAACGGCTAAATACCAATTATTTACGGTTACAATCGTTAAAGTTATTAAAATGGTTATTAAATGCACAAAAAAAAAGAAAAAGGGCTTGCGGCTTTAAACGGGAAAAAAAGCCTTTTATATGCCGGCACGGACCCACTTTTCCAAATGCTACAAAGCTTTATAACCGGTTTCCCCAAGCATTGCCGGGCATTGGGGCGGCTTAGCAAAATACCGCTAATTACCAGTTACTTACGGGATTGCACGCGCGGTACAAACGGCTTAAAACAAACCGTATCGGGAAAGGGCAATATGTTAAAAGTACGGGCGAAACCGCCCGGCAAAAAGCGGGGGGCGTTAAAAAAACGGGCGAAACCGCCCGGCAAAAAAAGAAAAAAGGGGCGCTAGCAGCCAGCCGGGCACGAACCTTTCCAGGAATATGCCGGCAAGCTACCGGTATTGCGGCCAAAGCATAATAGCAAAGCTAAAAAATAAAGTAAAGCTTAAATTGCACGAAAGCGCTTAAAGCGCGAAGAATTTAAAGGACCGACCCCGCGTGCCCGAAGGGGCACAAAAAAAGGGGAGGTTAAAAAAGGAACAATTTTAATTGGCAATAGCACCTTTGGTAAAAGATTTACGGAAGCTTAATAAAGGAAACACCGCATCCGGCCCGTAACCCGGTAACCACCCGCCTCTGCACCGATTAACCCCTTAACAGCTAGTAAAATTTGGCATTAATTAAATGGTGTTTAACGGGCAATTGGTTTTTGCTGCAAGCATTAACCGAATAATGCCGTAACCCATTTGGACGTAAAAGTTACTTTTGGCATTTGGCTAGGTGGAACGCTGGTGGGATTCGGCACCAATCGAATGGTATTTAGCGGGCGATTGGTTTTTGCTGCGAGCACCAACCGAATGGTGCCGTGCCTTTTTCGGATTGTCGTAAAGCACCATTCGGTGGGTGCCGTGTCCTCCGCCCCCCAAGCAAGCATTTAAACCGCACCCAAGTTACTTTGTAAATCCTTTTAATTGTTAAGTTACGTGCTATTGCTTAATATTCCTTTAGTGCTTTACTTTAAAAGCAGAAGCTTAACTGTAACACGTAATTAAAAACGAAAAAATTAAAACTTACGGGTTAAAGGAAAAATAATAGTAAAAAGGGAAAAAAGGAAAGCAAAAACAAATTAAAAGGAAAATCTCTTAACTTTTAATACTTACTTTTTTTTAAAAATTCGTATAAAGTAAAAGCGTTTGCTTTATTCCTTTTTAAAGCAAAAGCGCTTACTTCGTTACCTTTTGTAACTAAAGCATTTATTTCGTTACTCTTAAAATTGCGGTAAGCTTTTAAATTTTACGCTATTTACATAGCAATAAAATTTATTTTATTTTATTTACAAACAACCCAAAAGGCTCGCTTAAAGGGTATGTTACAAAAAAAACAATGTATACTGTGGAAAAGGTTTTAAGCATAAATATTAATTGCTTAAAGCATCGAAAGAGCGGTTCCTTTGCTTAGGAGCGTATAACGCTTCCAAGCGTTAAAAAGGAAGCTTAGTAAGCAAGGAAAACAAGGGAATTACGTGTATATAAAAGATAGAAGCCTTTACTGGGCTTTGCACTTTAAATCCTTTCCTTTTTAAAGCAAACCAACCGGAATAGCCCCACACCGTACTTATCCCTTCTGCTTGCAACAAATAAAATTACACAAAAACTCCCATTTGCTTTTGCTTAGTTATGGAGTGTTGCTGCTATAAGTAAATGGGGAGCGGGAACGGCACCGAAGTGGGCGAAATGTCGCGAAAACCCATGGGCAGGGAATGCCTTCGCCTTTTTGCTTTCCCTTTTACTTTTAACCGGTTTTAGGAATGCAAGCAAGCTGGCTCACCGACTTGGGCTGCCCAAATTGGAATAGCCAGGTTCCTTGTTCGGTTTCAAGGCCAGATGTAACGCTCGTTTACACCCCAACCCCAGCACGGCAATTATCCCCTGCTTCCATTTTTAATCGTCAAAACGTTTGCATTGCATGTCGCCCGTCGCCCCAGGTCCCACACGTGTGGCTTTTAAACTCGATACCAATAGCCGTTACAGTTAAATTGTGCTAGCTAAAGTGGTGTCGGGACCCTGTACATTGGTGTCTAGGTAATTTATACGTGTGTACGGTGTTGAGCCGTGTTGGGGCTGTGCCTTAGGGGTGCATGAGGTCCTGGCCTTAAAACGCGCCAATAGTGCTTGGGCCGGGACCCTTGCACGTGGAGCTGTGGAGTAGGCTCCCTGCCCGCTCGAAAGGGACGAGGCGATTATTGCTCGCGAACAAGATAAATACGCAGCTCTTGCCATTGTAGCAAAACACATTTCCCTCCTGTTCCTTATCCTGATTTGCTTCATTTCGCCCATCTTGATCCTTTCCTTCTTCGACCCCGGTTGGTTTTTATAATTCTCGCTCGATAGCCTTTACATCCTCCGACTCGACGTCTTGATCACTTCTCACCTCCCACCACTTACTTCACCATGCACGCCCAGCAAATCTTCGTTGCCGCCCTTGTGGCTTTCGGCGCCACCCTTACCCAAGCCAGTACGTTTTTTTTGTTGCCAGCACGGCAGGTCCCATGTTGGAGTTAAAACTAACCGGCGTTTTCCTGGTACAGGCCCTATCGAGGTCCGCGGCCTTGGTGACATCAAGCTCGGCAGTCTCGGCAGCATTAGCTGCAACTTGGCACGGGCCAAAATCGTCGGAGCTTTGTCCGCGGCCAAATCCGCGGCCAACAGCATCACCGACGCTACTGTTAAGCAAGCCACGCTCGACGGCATTAACGCGGCCAACGGTGGTATTTCCAACATTGGCAAAGCTCTCGTTGCCGGGACGGCATCTCCTACCTCGGAGCGCGAGAAGGTGGAGGCCGGCATTAAGGCGGCTGCCGCGGCTGCCCAAGGCGGCGACCAGTAAGCCACCCCCTTTCCCCCCTGCCTTCCTTTCTCTTTCGCGAGCTGCAGTACTGATTGTGGCTGGTTTGTTTTTACTTAGGACCGACCCCAACGTGGCCGAAGCAACCAAGTCACTTGCGAACGCCGCAAAGGCGGGCCAGGATGTTCTTGCTCAGTGCAAGTAAGGGGAGCGTGCAGGGCATGCCGAACCGCGAACCAGCTAGCTACCTACCGTTTAAACGCTACAAATGATACCCTTAAGCGAGTCCACACCCGATGTTAATTATTGTTCCTTGTCCCGATTTGTGCCGTGGGTTTATTTTATTTTATTTTTTTTGCAGCCTGCTCCTTTTGCCGCACTTTACATTGTCCTCGTCGTCGACATCGTTATGTCGCTAGGATCCTCCTGGGAATTCACCGTCCCTGTCGTTTCGCGCTGGTGGGTCCCTTTCGAAGCCCAACATAACATCCGCATCATCCTAATTAAATTGCATGATTGGACGTAAAACACCCCGCGGCCCTGGAAGGGACCAGGATTAAGCGCCGAAAGGGAACGCCGACTGGCAGCCCAAAGGCATCCCTGGTCCATGTGTTTAATGCACGTCGCCGTCGTGGAATTTCAACGGCAATCATGGAACGTCGACTATGGATCCTCGCAGGGGTCCAACACGCTGAAATGGCATCATGGAGGTAAGCAGAAATAAATGAAGGATAAAATTAAGCCTCCCCAAACACACCCTGCGCTCAAAACAACGGCCTGGTCCAGTTTGGGAGCCTTGCCGCCCCTTTTTGGTGCTTCGGGGTGGAGCGAAGCAACCTTACCTGCGACCAAACGTCCCCCTGCTGTCTGCTGCAGTTCCCCTCGTCTTAGAATTTGACAGACCGATAACGTTACTCCATTCATCCAAACACCAGATGGCATATTTGCAGGGACCAAATAGCCATTGGGTGCTTAGCCGGAGGGACCGGACTGGTCGCTGCGGCGTCCTGTCATTAACACATCCATGCATTTATACTTCCTCTTATACCTTTGGCGCCATAAGCAACGCCTGTTCTTAGTAGGCCTTGTCTGCTGGGCGGATGGGGGCGACCCTTTGGCGGCGCTGGATGCTAACATGGATCCTATCAATGAAGAGCAAAGCGGCTTGGCGCCAAGCAGGACTGCCGGGAAACTTACGTCGTATCGCGTAAACCGCGTCGTGGTTAGCTTGTGGATTTCCATAATGGCCAAGTGTTTGCCGACACAGATCCTGCTGCCCCCCTCCAAAGGAGAAGTTGGCATCGTACATGCGCTTCCGTTTTTTGCTCGCCGCGCAGCCACCTTTCGGGCCGGAACGCATCCGCATCGTCGCCGAAGGTTTGCTTGTCGCGCGGCGTTACCCACGGGTTCATGCCCACCTGGGTCCCGTCGGGGAGCCTCAGGCCCTCCGCTGGCACGACCCTCTCCAGCACCCCGCCGAGGACGGGGTGCATGCACAAGCCCTCCCGAATTACTGCCTTGAAATACTGGAGGTCCTTGGTTTCGGCGTAAGGTGGCGGCGACGAGGTAAAGCCTACACCGTCCAACTCGGCCACCAGTCGAGCCTTAACGGCCGGACTTTTGAAAATGTAGTACGTGATGGCCTTTTGTACAAAAAACGTGGTGTTTGCTCCGGCGAGGACATTCATCATCAAATACGACACGACCTCGTTGTCGCCAATCGTGTCGGGGTAAAGCTCTTTGGCCTCGAAGAAGTTGTTTAGGAAGTTGCTTCGGTCCGCGCCGCGGGCCACGCCCTTGCCAGCCCGCTGGGTGCCCCTTTCGGCCGTGCGGCGGACGCAATACATGAAAGTGCTACTATATCTGGCGAACTTAACGGGGCATCGAGGGTCCTTTCCCAGCCACATGTCCAGCCATGGCATCTGCCCCACGATGCCGAGATAGCGCATCGCCATTTCGCCCGTCTTTATCATGCGTCGACGTCGGCGCTAGCTTTAAGGAAGCCCATTTCCTCGCTAAATGTTAAGCTCCAGGCTAGAACGACGCTGTCGTTAATGTCGTATGAGTAAGCGCATAGCACGTGGCTTTTGGCGTGGGGCTGCTCGTCGGCAAGGGTTGGACGTACCGTATTCGATTCAGTCGGCAAGATTTGCCGGCTTGCCGTTATCCAAGCAGTTAACAAAACGTGCCTCCAGCTTACGGCAAAGGGCGACGGCCATGCTGTTAACATGGCGCTCTTTTTGAAACGCCGCGCTCGAGGTGAAGTACTTTTGGTACGGGCGCATGCGGTGGAAGCTGTTGCCGAAAGTGCTAAATGGATTTGTAATCCGGATTCCGTTATGGATAGCGTCGCTTATGGAGTAAAACTCGCTTTGGATTCCATGTTAGGAGCATAAACACAGCTGATGCAAGCACAGCTAAATTAATGGCTAACCTTAACAAAGTTTCCCTTCGTCGAGTGCACCGTTTTAATTAGCCCCGGGTCCGATAAGCTAACTGTTTCGGGCCCAAAGCGAACCGCAAAGCCATACTTCTGGTGAAGCGCCTGCCGGCTGCGAATTTGTAAGTGCCTCCAGTAATTTAGCATTCTCCAAGTATCAGCTAACCCGGCTAGGAAAGGCCCCGGGATAACCCGAAGAGGGGATTCCAAGTGTGACACGACGACCCCCGCTCCCAGGACAAGGCCCGCCAGGAATGTCGTGCCAAGAGCCAGGGTGACGTAAGTGGGTAACATGCTGGGCGTAACGCAAATTCGCTACCGAAACTGGTGTGAAGGGTCGCAATGCTCGTTTCCCTGGATCGTGATGGGATGTGTGCCCGAGAAAGAAAAGAACAGACAAATGAGGAAGTAGTTAGCGTGCCTGCCAGGCAGAGAGGACATGGGGCTGTCCCCCTGCTTTTACCTGGCAAGCCTCTTGGTTGGGTTCCTTCGGCTGGGTGGCATGGCGGTGGTGGACAATTCTTGGGTAAAGGGGAGGACTGAGAGAAATGGCATGGCGGAGGCATGCATCAACATGCAGAGCGGGGGTTGTTTTCTGCAGAAGTGCGGCATGGCTCGCCAAGCCGCTGCAACCAGAGCACTTGCTGCGACCAAAGTAAGTACACATCGTCTTGCGTGATACGACACTTCCCATTTTTCTGGTGATGGAAGCCCAGCCTGCAGTCGCCAAGAAAGCAATTACCACATCTTCGCCGACCGCTCCTGCGTGGCCCAATGGAGAATGGATGTGCGTCAATATCGACAGTTGTGTTGCATTCGGGCAAGGGTACGCATGGAACTGCAGCAACGGAAGCCGGGAACCAACAGCCACACCGCGGGAACCGGGAAGGTCGACGAGGCCAGCTGACTCGGCCTAACCGCTTGGCAAGCACCAGTTTCGAGGTTCTTAATCAGCAAAATACCAATTGGGTGGTAGCGCCAACGAACTTCGTCCAATGCGAGCGACAGGTGCTATCGGAAGTGGTGTGGACGGAAGTGGTGTGGACGGAAGTGGTGTGGACAGTACGCGTAGGATTGGTAACACAGCGCGGGAAACGCGCGCCTTCCCTATAATTCATAAGGTCGATATGCCAAATTCCAGAATACCCCGCATCTAAGACTGCGGCAACTTGATTGACGCAGCTCGTGCAGCTCCGTGTCCCCTTCCATCAAGCCCGTCCAGGCGTCACGGCAGGTATCGTCCATGTACACTTCGTCGATGCACTCCTCGTCGCCTCCGGTGTGTCTGAGAATGGCCTCAGGGTAACTTCGCCCGCATGTAGTCCTAAGTCGCAGACCGACTCTGCGGTGCTGCCAGCAACCTTTCCTCGCCGAGGTCGCACACATATTGGGCACCTGCCTCGGCGTTGTTGCGTCTGGAAGCCGGCGTTGCTTTCTGCCTTGCCGCGCCACCCCTTAAAACTCAGGTCATCGTCTTTCCCCGACTTTTCGATCGCCCAGGTTCTTCTTCGTTTCTAACCGCCAATCCCAAAGCCAATCGACGCGGTACCTCTAGGGTACTTTCGCTCCGTCCTGGTCGCCCAGGCCCGAGTCCAGCCCCTCCCCGTCGACTTTGTCGTCGAACTTTGGCGTTTCCCTGCTCCTCCTGCTGGTGGTAACAGTGCCGCCATCTGAAGGTTCCGCACGCTAGCTCCGACGTGCAGCTACCGGGCCCCAGCCATCAGGTTCCCGCGAGTATAAAAGCGATTGATGGCCATGGCTTCCAGCTCCGGAGGCGCGGGTTCAAGCTCGCTGCTGCCAGCTCCCGCAGACTCGATAGACGAACAAGTCCCGCTCCTGTCAAGCCACGCCCAGACCATCAGTGCTGCAAGGATGTCTGCAAAGAAGCACGCTGAAGCGACAGCCTCCAGTCAGCTGTCGGATAACACCAACTCGGCCAACAACGCTCCGGTCAACTGCTTTGATGGCACAACCAAGCTGGTGGCCGGCGACAACCGCATCCTGCTGATCCCCTCACCTTCCCAGGACCCCAGGGGTAAGCGTTTTGCCATCCTGCCCCTGATCCCGCCACGACAACATCGGGCCAAGCTTTGCCTTCATCGCTAACACTACTTACTGCCTCCTTTTACAGACCCCGTCAACCTTCCAGAATGGCGCAAAGCCGCAGTGACGGGAATTTTAATCCTTTGTACGACAAGCTTTTATTCCTCCCTGCCTCGCTTTAGCTAACTGTGTTAACCTTTTGTTGCTGCGCCCAGACTCGGTGTCCGGCTTGACTCTCGTGACGGCGCTTGGCGCCCTCATCGTCTTCATTAAACCCGAGTATGAAAAGGCGGGCATCACAGAGTCGCAGATCTCGGGACTGCTGACTTACCCGAACCTGCTGCTCGGCGTCGGCAACATCGTTTCCATGCCGCTGGCCGTCGCCGTCGGCCGCCGCCCCGTCATGCTCGCTTCGACGGGTTTGCTGGTGCTGTCGGCCATCCTTTGTGCCACCAACCAGAACTTCTACTGGCACCTGGGCGCTCGCTGCCTAGCCGCCCTTAGTGCCGCCCAGTGCGAGGCCTTGGTGCTGCTGATGGTGCAGGACATTTACTTCTTGCACCAGCGCGCCCGCGTCCTACAGTGGCTGAGCTCCATCCAGGTTATCCTTAACTCGTCTCTGGTTATTGCTTGCTCTTACGTCGCCGATGCGGTGGGATGGCGCGCCTGGTACTGGATCTTTGTCGCTTTGGCCGGACTCGCCTGCGTCCTGACTGTTCTTTTTGTGCCCGAGACGGCCTATGACCGACCTATCGAGTCCTTCATTGGCGCAGGCTCGTTATACAAGCCAGCCGAGGATTGCGAGGACCCAAACACCACGTCGCAGCCTGTGCCTGGGAAACCGCTCGCCAGCCCGACAAGCGTCACCCACATTAACCCGTCCGCGGGCCATGGCCAGCAAAACCCTAGGCCACAGCCACAAACAATAGCCGGCCAGGCACACTTTGCCACCCTCACTACCCATGACGAGCGACCGCTGGACCTGGATCGCTATGCGCCGCGCACCCGGGCCTCAGACATGCGCGTCTTCGTGAAGAAGCCCAACTGGGCGTCGGCGTTCCGAACTGGCCGCGAAATCTGCTCCGTTTTCTGGTTCCCCAACGTGCTCTGGGTCGCTGCCTTTAACGGCCTCATCATGGGTGCCGACATCGCCATCCAAATCACCTACGGCACCGCCCTTGTCTCGCCCCCATACAACTGGGCACCTACTTCGGTTTCGCTGATCCAGCTGGGCCAGATTGCTGTCGCGCTCATTGCGGTGCCCCTGGTCGGCACCGCGGGCGACGCCGCCGTCAAGTGGCTGGCTCGCCGTCGCCGCGGCGTACACGAGCCCGAGCGGCGGCTGCTCACCATGATTCTGCCCATCCTCCTCGCCGTGCTCCTAACTGGTTTGTACGGCTTTGTGCTCGCCGACCCCTCGCGCTTTCACTGGATGGCCATTGCCTTTACTGTCGACGCCTACCTGTACATTCTGCTGGCGGCGAGCACGGCCGGCACTACGTATCTGATTGACGCTTACCCGCGCCGCGCCGGCGCCATTCTGGTCGTTATTCCCGTCACCCGCGGCCTCGTCAGCTTCGGCGTGAGCAACGGCACCGTCGACTACATTGTGCGCATCGGCGCGCCCAACCTGTACGGCATTTATGCCGGCCTCATCGCCGTTTTTGGCCTGCTTGGTTGTGTGCTGTACTGGAAGGGCAAGGTCGTGCGGAGGTTCTGCACCCGCTGGGCCGTTGACTCTTCGTAACGGACATGGGCGAATTCCCGTGGCTACGCAGCTACACTGTTACCAGTTTATTTTTACCGGTTTCCTGAGTGCCTAGCTATTTCCTATCTGACTTTCTCCTGCCCCGCTCCCTTCACATACTCGCCGTTAATCCAAACGACCCCTCCATCACTAAAGCCCAAATGTCACGCGGACAACGTGATGTCATCCAACCAAATTCCATAGTTCCGGCGGGTGGTGCTAATGTCGAGATGCAAAACTCCTGTTGCTAGGAATTTTAACATCCAGGGACTAAACTTTACCAAGGCCCAATTTATGCCCGTGTTGGCCTCCACAATCTGCGTCGAGGTGTAGGCAACGATGGGCGCCCTAGTCGGATCGCCGACTAAGGTCGTGTAAATGGAAGCCCGGAACGTGATGGTGTTGGCAAGGCCCACCGAGTTGGTCCCATACCACAGGCGTAGGCGGTAAGGCGTGCTGCTCCCGCACGCAGCAAAGGGCTGGTAGAGTTGCAAAAAGCCTTTTGGGGCGCTGCTGCCGTCGACGGAGATGTACATAGCGACGCTGCCCGAATGCGGCCTGCCAGCGAACGGGGGTCCACTTCTGGACTGTCCAATCGCCCACATGGGACCTGAACTAACATAGGTCCAGGGATAAAGGGCCGGCGCCAAGGACTCGAATCCTGGGTTTGCAAGAGGCTGGCTGCACTTTTGAGCCGGCGCTGGCGCCGTTACCGTCGTGGTCGGACCTGGAGTTGTGACGGTTGTACCGGGAGCCGTGATGGTAAACGCCGGAGCCGTAACGGTCGACGCTGGCGCCGTCTCTGTAACGGTGGGCCCCGGTATCGTTTCCGTCCTCGTCGCCCCCGGGGCAGTTTCCGTAATTGTCGACCCAAGCGCAGTGACGGCGGAATCAGGCGCCGTTTCCGTAACCGTGGTAGCCGTGCACGTTAACGCTGTGCCAGGAAGCGTGACCGTGGTTACCGACCCGACACATGTCGTTGTGGAGCTCTTTGTTGTGCTGATCGTGGTGGACGATAAGAAGCAGGAGCAGGCACTCGAGAGCCGCGAGACCCGAGATGTCGTCCCGCAGTTTGCCAGATATGTAAGGATGGCGCTGGTCGCGGTGGCAGGCGCCGTGGTGGATAGGAGCGAAGCGCAAAAGCTGTTTACGCTGGCCCCGTGTTGTTTGTTCTCCAGCGCCCGGAGGCAGTTGTCTTTGTTGCATTTTCCGTCGCCGCGGGGGACGTGGTACGCCGCCGCCGACACGACGGCCGCGAAAGCCAGACTCCAGACAGCCGGGGTTGCCCACATGTTGCGTTACACTTGAGGAAGGATAATAGCTTTGGTGCAAGGCATTACAGGACATGCGAGGACGGAAGAGCACGGAGGGAGGGCAAGATGGCCAGGGTTTTAAGCACCCATCGCTTACCAACACCACATTTCCTCCAATCCCAACGGGGTGTTAGGCCAAGCGGTGCGGCTGAAGGCAACCTAGTTCTGGCCGTTGGCGACGGTTAATTGGAAAAGCCGTTGGAGCTAGGCCACATGGCATGCAGGAGGCCCAAAGAGGATATCCTAAGGAAATATTGCTGCTAAACACCATCGTCTTACCTGCAGCCTCATGTTTGGTGCACCCCAGATCGTGCTTTTTTGCCCATGCCTACCTAACCGGGTGGGCGGGCCATTGGTGATGCAGGTTGGGCACAGCTAAAAAAAATCCTTCCCGTAATGTTTTTTTATATTTGGCCATGATGCGAGTTCCCCTCCGTTGTAATGTCGACCCGAAAATAAATGCATGGAACTTTTTCCAATGCCGGGTTGGCCAATTACTAATTACTATCGCTCGCGCAAACTAACCTGGATACTACCTAAATGCGCAGCGGCATGTGGACAAAAAGAACGCCCTTTTACAAAGTTGGTGATGTCCCTTCGCGAAGGCACGAATTCCACATGTAAAAAAGGGGATTTTGTGCAAATTCCGTCAGCTGGATGACGGGAACCTAACAGGGCTCCCTGCAGGACAACTCCTCCACAGTTCCTTGGCAACGTGCCTGAGTGGTTAAAGGGTATGACTAGAAATCATATGGGTTCGCCCTCACAGGTTCGAATCCTGTCGTTGTCGATTAGCCAATTCTTTTGGAAAATGTTGCTTCCAAGCGCGCCCCCGCGAGCTCAATCGCTTTGGCGTCCTTGTCCTTCTTCCTCGGAGCGCCTGTGCGGGAAACTTGTTGCGCTGGGCGGCCACCAATTCCTTTTTTTGCTATTAAATGTAACACCTTTCCAACTCCGCCGTTTCTTTTCCTAACTTGGTAAGTTCCTGTTTATTTAAAGTTGCAAGCATTATTCGTTGCATTGCGCTATTTTTAGGTGTGTCGGTGGTCCTTTCGGCAGCATCCTAATCCGTGAAAACGGGGAATGACCCGCACGTGGCAACCAACGGGAGCACTACGGCCAGCAGCAAAGGAACAGCTGAACTGCGTACACAAGCAACGGGTTACCGATATGGTTAATAGCGTGGTCGCATCCTTAACGCTTTGATGAATAAGAAGGGAATGGAAACATCCGAAAAGGAGTAGTTTGCATCCATCATTACGGAGCGGGCAATGGCGGCGTTTTGGGCGGGGTCGCTAAAACGCACACCGAGATGGAAAACTGGCAAGCAGGGGAAATTCGCAACAAAACATTTGCTGCTTCTTTACAAAGAGATACGCACTGGGTTACAAGCTGGCGTATAGGATAACCAATGGAAATTCCCAAGGATTTTTGGGCAAGCTATAAGCTAGGACCTTGCCAAGGGCTTAAAAGCCACCTGATTTCCTTAATCTAAACATCAACAATGGGCTTTACAAAGCTAAGAAGTATATGGCACTTAATGAGTCGTAATGTGTAGCTTATCGCGGCCTCGCCAGTTTTGGAAGCAGCAGTAACTAATTATAAACGACATGTGTCCTTCTTTGTGGATGGGCGGCGGCTCGGCCTGGCATGCGAGAATGGTTGGACCCGGTTTAAAAGATTCGAGAAGGGGAGATACTGGCAGCAAAGGGCGCCACCCCCAAAACAATTTAATTGATACACCGAAAGGGTGGAAAAGTGGGCAACTTTTCCCTAAATCGACTTGACAGCTTCCGGCAAGCAGTGGACAACCAAATATGTAAACTTCGGGAAAATTATAAAAATTGAAAAAAAAAAGCTATTTAAAACTATTGCTTATTTATTTGGGAAACCGCTTTGTAAATAACATGCTTCCTCTTGGTGTATCAATTAAATTGTCTTGGGGGTGGGCGCGTCGAGACAAGCAGTAGGGGGTAGAAAGGTGGGTACGGGGCGATGTTCCAGGCAATCGGTTAAGGACAATGGCCCGCCAGTCTCGTTTCTGCACGGCGGGTCGGAAGGATAGGAGCGCATAGCCGGGCGGAGTGCCGGAAGGTCGTACTCAGAATATTTTGCCTTCTTTCGTCGAGCCGTACTGCACAGCCGCCGACTAAAGTTGGTTGCAAACAAGCGCACCCTGTTGGCCGCGCAGCGGAAGAGGAGAAAAAAGTGGACGAAACAAAAGCTGATGTTTTTCAGGGGGTGGGTGTGAGGGAGAATGGTCGACAGGACGTTGCGTCGCGGGTACATTGGAGAGCCACTTGGATATGGCTAGCAAGCGCGGGCAGAAGCGTTCAGGGGTCCGTCCCAAAGCGACGGGAAGCGCCAAGAGTCGGTGCTTGGGCGGCATGCTTGACGTTTTGACGTGCTAGCGGAAAGAACGGCGCATGCGGTTACAAACAAGATGGACAAAACAAACTGACAAAAGGCCGAGCGCCAACGCAGATTCGCTAGCCGCTAGGTGCAAAGGATGGACGGCCGAATCGGCGAGGGGCGTTGCTGCAAAATCTTTCCGGCCAAGTAGCAAGGGAAACAAGGCGAAGGAGCCTGGACAAGCTCCACCAAGTAATACCAAGCACCATTGAGCATTCCGTGGCATTGTGGTAGCGTGTCGGAAGCAGCTGGCGGCGCGCCCAAGAGCCGTCGGCCAAGTCGGCCGGAGCGAAACAGACAGACAGGGCTACCCCTGCCGCCGTGCCAGTTAAACGTGCGGGACCCGCTTCCCGCCAGCCGCACAGCCACGATCGCGGCACTTTCCCTGGGCGCAATGCACTGTGTGCCGCGCTTTGCAGCTGCCCCACGCATAGCTGAATGGCTGCAGATCTGAAAAGGGAAGCGTATGTAAATGCGGATATTTGGCCTTGTGCTATCAACACGCAAACGTTAGAAAGGGAAATACAACGGGAGAATCAACAACCTAAACGGCATTACGTTACAAGTTGGGCTGCGAGCAGTGCGATTTTTACGCAACTTCATTTCCGTGCCCGGGAAGGGAAATTGACGGCAAGGAAACGGACAACAGCAAGATGGGGAAAAATCTCTGCTTGCAATTCCGGTCCCACATTGTCCGTCCTATATTCTCCGAGCCTGCTGCTACGTCGTCGAGCTTTGTCGCTGCCCAAAGGCCCGATTGTTTTTCGAGCCATGTGGGCTCGTGGGTTTCAGTCTCTGTCGGGCCCTCGTCGGGCCTTGGAGAAACAAGCAAGCCGCCGTGTGGATCGTGAAAAATCCCCGACCAAACGACGACGACTTACCTTGGCCCCTTTTTTGGAGGTCGTGCGCAGCGCATGCAGCAGCAGCCGCCGCTAAACACTAGATGGCCGCGACGGCTCTGCGCGTCGTCCATGCTAGGCGGAAACAACAGCTTTGCCCGCACTGACCGAAGCGACTGGCAGAAAGGCTCGTCACCGAAACGCAAACAAGCGCCACACTCGCCAAGCCCGCCCCACCCAAAGCCACACACCCTGGGCGCCAAGAGCTTCCATGGCAATTGTGGGCCCCTGATATGGGAATGGCATCGCCTGGGTACCTTGCACCGTTTCCTCCTGTCAACGACAGCCGGAAACAGAAACCCCCCCCCATGGCCTGTCATCGGCTTATCCTGTCATTGCAACCTTTGCCGCTGCGGCGACCAGAGGAAGCTAGGTACCGTACCTTACTCGGCGGTCCTGCGAGGCCTGCATGTCCGCTGCTTCATCCTAGATGGGTCTGACACCGACGACTGAATCACTTCGCGCTCGGTTCCATCCGTCCCTACCATGCCACGACACTTTGTAGCATACTGTCCCATCCACTGCCGCCTGGCCTCCAATCGGAGGCCAAGCCCTAATCTTCGCCAGCCGCGCTGGGATCAGAGATGAGCGGCAGGGTTGGCGGCTGGACCGAGAGCAAAAAGCAGCCGATCCGTCGAGCCCAATAAGTATCTGGGCCGAAGCCCCCCTTGGACACCCGACGAGATAGCATGCACTTCTCTTGGCCTGTTTATTAGGTGCTGGAATTTCCCAGCCTGAGACCGTGTTTCCTTCTTGTCTTGGCTTCTATTCACTCGACCCCCCTTTGAACCTTTCTTTACATCGGCCGGGCCGCTTCTCACTGGCTCTGTGCTCGCAAGCTCACAACTCCGTCTTTTCCCTATTCCGCCACACGTACACCCTCAAGCAGACACAATGGCTCCTTCAAACGTCCACGCGGGCGCATACCCCCTTGGCGCCACAGAGGACCAAGTACCAGGCCCCAGCCTACCCAACTCCCCCCGGAACTCCATCCACGCGTATAGGGCAACCTACCCGACCAACGACGCCGCCCGGCTAGTCTCAGCACCAAGGGACAACTTTGATGCGGCCAGCACGGCAGAGACGCTCTCAGACCACAACGGCGACCCGGAACATAACGCAGGTGGCAAGGAGGGCGAGGCCTCGCACGGCGATGCCTACGGCGTCAACAGGCCAAAGCTCAAGTGGAAGCAGCGGCTCCACCACTTCACCTGGGCATGGTTCACGTTCCCCATGAGTACGGGCGGCCTCTCGCTGCTGATACACGCGCAGCCGCACCAGTTCAAGGGGCTGCGGGAGATCGGGACCGTGGTCTACGCTGTCAACCTCGCCATATTCTCCTTTGTCGTTACCTGCATCTTTACGCGCTTCTTCCTGCACCGCGGCGACTTTACGAGCTCGCTCAGCCACCCGCGCGAGGGCTTCTTCTTCCCGACCTTCTTCCTGGCCACGGCCACCATCATCACCAGCACGCACCGCTACGCCATCCCGGCCGACGACCCGACGCTCAACTGGGCCATCCAGGCCACGTACTGGCTCTACGTCATCGTCACCCTCGCCCTAGCCGTGGGCCAGTACAGCTACGTCTTCGCCGCCCACAGCTTTGGCCTGCAGACCATGATGCCCACCTGGATCCTGCCCATCTTCCCCATCATGCTGTCGGGCACCATCGCCTCCGTCATCGCCGCCACCCAGCCCGAGATTGCGGCTGTGCCCGTCATCGTGGCCGGCCTCACCTGCCAGGGCCTCGGCATCTCCGTCTCGTTCCTCATGTACGCCCACATGGTCGGCCGCCTGATGCAGTCGGGCCTGCCCAACCGCGAGCACCGCCCGGGGCTCTTCATGTGCGTGGGGCCACCGGCCTTTACGGCTTTGGCCTTGATCGGCATGGCCAACAACCTGCCCGAGAACTTTGACCCCAACGGCGACGGGATGGGCGAGAAGGCCATGATCCGCATCCTTGCCATCATTGCCGGTGGCTTCCTCTGGGCCCTGAGCCTGTGGTGGTTCTTCATCGCCCTCATCGCCGTCGTCCGCTCGCCGCCGCGCTACTTTCACCTGGGCTGGTGGGCCATGGTCTTCCCCAACACGGGCTTCATCCTGGCCACCATCTCGCTCGGCAACGCCTTTAAAAGCGAGGCCGTGCTTTTCTTTGCCAACGGCGCCTCCATCATGCTGCTCCTCACTTACTTCTACGTCCTGTACCACCACATCAAGGCCGTCATCAAGCAGGATATTATGTATCCCGGGAGGGATGAAGATGTGGAGGACCACTGATGGAAGATGCGCCATCTCAATGGCATCAACTCTACGCCCACACTTCACTTCTCCACACAGAATTTTTTAGAACAAAACCATTTTGCATTTTCCGCATCATCATCATCACCACTCATTTACCACAGCGTGCTTGCTCTAGACTTCCTTCATTATACCGAGCCCAAGTCAGGTCGGCGATGACAGTGTATCCATCTACATAGCTACTCCCTAGTCTAAAAGGCCAGGAAGGCACGCAGGCGTCCTCTTGGCGAGTGGCGACCTTTGTGTTATGTTTCTTGTTTTGTCCGATATGGCGCCCTCTTGGCGGCCGTGATGGCCGGGGCCTGTACTTCGTCAGTGGTGTTTCGGCTGGTGGAAAAGAGTTCATGTTTCTTTTGCGGGTTGTGATAAAGTTGCGCATGTGGCCAGTTTCGGGCACTCGGGTTTGCGTGGGGGGCTCCGGGTTTGGGGCCAAAAATATTAGACTGTTATTCTCTGCACACCTGGCTTCTCGTCTTCAACATGCTCCCGTGTGTCAAATCGCCACCCCGCGGCCCGGGCTCAGGGGGCTCGGGGCTCGGGGCTCGGGGAGCATTCCATCGTCAAATGGAACAGACACGACACTGCCCAAGCAAAAGGTCGGACGGGAGCAAGATTCGCCCGCACCTGTGGGCCGATATCAGCACGAGGTTAGAGTTATGGAGGGTGCGTTTTCTGTCAGGCTGCAGCGGTTGGCGGCGGCGCTCCTTCCCGTTGTCATGCCGTTCGCCTTGCCAGGAATACAGACCTCGACCACCCCATCATCACCTACATCTAGCCAGTGCGAGCTCGCTGATGCACATTCATTACCGCTTGTGCGCTGTCGCGTAGCAGAGTACCTGGCCATGGGATCTTGTCCAGCGCCACCCCTTGACCATGGCAGATCGCCTAGTGGCCAGCGTTTTTGACCTGTCGACAGGAGGCAGAGCAAGCGGGTGATACTACACGGGTATGTCTTTGACTCCAGCTGGAGGACTAATTGTATCCCATGGACTTATGGCCGTCTGGCTGCCCAGTAGAACCCCAGCGACCTCTCCTGCGCATCCCTCCATGTATCCCGACCCCTCGACCGTCGGAAGCCAAGAGATACCCCGAACGAAAGCACAGCCAGCAACAGCGACAGCCACCGCAGATCCAACGTATCGAAGTCGGTCTTGCCAAGCCTCCACTCTTCTCCTAGAAGTCCTTGTGGTGTAGGCTCGCCCTCGTCGCGAGACGTGTGCAGGATGCCGCAGGTCGACCGACGCCCACTCACGATTGCCCCTTTTTTGCCATTTGCGCCGGCAGGGGGCTCGCAGCTGGAAGACTGCCAATCACTAATCTTCAAGGTCCGCTATTACGAGACGCTTATTTGGCAAGCAGGGCCAGCTTTTAACTTGCACCCAAAATCTTGGGTTGCCTTCATCGCTTCTGCTGCAGAGCCTCCCTGCCGTCGCCGATCCAGTCGACAACGTGCCAACAATAGCCCAAGCCTCGGATGCCTTGCTATTAACCATGACCGTTGCCGTCGACATCCTGGGCTTGCCAGCAGCGGCGCTGCAAAATGACCCAACATCCCTCCTTGTACACTCGATATGTCAGTGCAGGCGACAGATCTGTCAAGGGGGCGATGTCCGCAGCTCGTACGTGCTACGGCTTCCGCAGGTTACTCGATGTGCACGGCGCAACATGACGCACATTTTCCTTTTGTGCCGTGGCCGGTTTAGCTATCCTCGAATCGTCCCAGGTCGTTTCGACAAGCAGATCGTCGCCGTTGCCTCTTCCATACGCTGTGCGACCCAACATCTTATGCATCCATCTCGCGTGCCTGCGAGCCCGCTTCATTTCTCCCCGCCCATCCGGGGTCCCCAAGATGACGACGTCACATCACCAGCTCCCGGCGCCGACAAGAATTGATGGCTGGCATCCTTCCTCATGCTTCGCGCCGTCTTCTTCCACTCTATGTGGCGGCACGTCGGAGATAGGATCATGGAGCAGAAACGCGCCTAGATAGCCAATGGCCGGGTTTCCGCTTCTTTCGCACGATGGCCCGATACATTCTCGGTAGGGCGCCGAGTGCTCAAAAGTCGCCTCAGTCTCAGCCCCGATGCTTATTTCCTTGGCTGCTGACTGTCGTGCTCTTTTCCTGGGCCATTCGCCTCCCATCCTCGTTGTTCAACCCGGTTTGCATCGCTCCTCTTCCCGGCGATCTCAAAGACTAGGCTGTTTAGCACCGCCGCGTGTGCCATATGCGACAAGATGTCTACGCGAAACGAGGAGCTTGGTTCCAAGGTTGACCATCAGCATGGCTTGGCGGATCTGACAGTCGACCCGGCGGCCGAGAAGAAGCTGGTCCGGAAGTTGGACCTGTATCTCGCTCCCATAATGGTCCTGTTCTTTCCGATGGCCTACCTCGATCGGAGCAACATCGGTTCGGCAGCCATTGCTCCTCGGTGTTTAGCCCAGATCTATGGATACCACTAACACCACAGCCTCGATCCTTCCAAGCAACGCAGTGATCGCCGGCATGACCGAGGACCTCGAACTGACAGGCGACCGCCTCAACGTAGCCGTGACCGTCTTCTACATCACCTACATCACGTTCGAGATCCCCGCCGCCCTCTCGCTCAAGCTCGCCGGCCCGCGCCGCCTCATCCCCTTCTTCATTATCGGCTGGTCGCTGGTCGTGGTCGGCTCGGCCTTTATAACCAGTTACGCCGGTCAGCTGGCCACGCGCCTCCTGATCGGCGCCTTCGAGTCCGGCCTTTTCCCCTTCCTGACGCTCTACCTCTCGACATTTTACAAGAAGGAGGAGCAGGCCCGCCGCGTGTCGTACCTATTCGTCGTCGCCGCACTGTCAGGCGGCCTGGGCGGCCTCCTGGCGTACAGCCTGACGAACCTGCACGGCGCGGGCGGCCTCGCCGGCTGGCGCTGGCTGTTCCTCGTCGAGGGGCTGGTGTCTATGGCCGTGGGCGTCGCCGCAATCTTCATGCTGCCCGACGGCTTCGAGACGGCCTGGTGACTAACAGACGACGACAAGCGGCTCATGCGCGTCCGGGGCGAGCAAACGGCCGTCTACCTGGGCGAGTCCGAGCTGTTTGACAGGGAGGAGGTTAGGCTGGCCTTTCGGGACCCCAAAGTTTGGCCCTCGGCCGCCTGCCAGTTCTGCGCCAACACGTGCTCCTTCGGCTTCGGGACCTTCCTGCCCATCATTATCAGGGGCTTCGGCTACCCGGCCGTTACAACGCAGCTGCTTACCGTGCCCGTCTACGTGTGGGCGTCCGTCTTTTACATCCTCGTTAGCTACCTGTCGGACCGGGTTAACAGGCGCGCCGTCTTCATGACGCCCTTCGCCCTGGTTACGGCGGCCGGGTACGCTATGCTGGTGGGCGTCCCTACGGCCGCCACCTCGGTGCTTTACTTTGCCACCTTCGTCGCCACGACCGGCATCTACTGCGTCGTCGGCCTCAACGTAACGTGGGTCAGCAACTCCCAATGCGGGCTACTACAAGCGCGGGGCCGCCATTGGCATCCAGCAGATGGTCGGCAACTCGGCCGGCATCATGGTAAGCCGCCATTCGCTTTACTCGGTCATGTCCAGCAACACCCTATGCTAATTCGTCGCTGGCTTTTCACCCCGCAGGCGGGGCAAATCTACCGCCTGACGACATCAGACGACCGCTACTTCGTCGGCCACGCCGTTTCGCTGGTCGCCATCTGCGTCGCGTCGTTCGGCTACTTTATCATGTGGGCCGTACTGAGACGGATCAACGACAGGCGGGAGGCCATGAGTGTCGAGGAACGCGTGCGCGCGCTGGATGCCGGAAAAAAGGGCGACCGCCATCCAGACTTTCGATACATCTTGTAAGTTGGGGGTGTTGTATGAGGCGCCTGTCCAAGCAAACTAGTCGGCCTGCGTGCTTGAGCCAGGAGCATGTTGTGCCGCGTTGCCGACATGATACTCTGACAGTGCCATGACGGAAGGTTTATGATTAGTCTATAATGATGCACTTGATTGCGACTATCAGGATATATACAAGAGGGATGAGATGATGTTGTGGCGTCTGCCGGGACCTGAGTATCATTTCGAGGGCCCATGCGGCCAAGGAATGTGGGCGGAACGAGAACAGACGAGCTGGGACCATGACGGCCCAAGGCGGCATGTGCTTCTGCTTCTCCATCATATCGCTGCGGCACCGCCTTCGCGCCACGCAACCCTGGCACGGGGGTGGTTGTGGCTGCCTGGGGTTGCCGGTGGAGGACCTGAAGAGCCCACTCCAAAGTTGTGCAGACGCTCCCCAATCAGGTACGCCTCGTCTCTGATGCGGACGCGCCACGAGCGGAAAATTCCCAGTGTGGCCCACGCCATGGAAGCCAGGAGGACGCCCATGGCCGCAACAGGGAAGCTCAGGCGGTACACAAGCGTCGGGTTGATGCCCGCTGCGGGTGCCGCCGCTGCGGCGTCGAGGCCAGTGTTGGCGTTCTGGAAGCACGAGAGGAACACGTGGGCCGAGACAAGAGGGCCGACGATAGCCACGGCCGACAGCACGAGGCCTGGTATGACAAAGGCACGTGTCAGGACCCCGGCGTCGGGATTGAGCCAGCCGCCAGCGACGATAGCGCGCAGGGCCGCGGCTGGCCGCGACTCCTCGTACCACAGGTCGACGATTCGGGCCGAGAGCTTGAGGTAGAGAAGTCCAATGGTCCAGGCTTGGATGACACGGATGGTGTGCGTAGAGCCCGTGGCGGCCGGTGGGCCGAGCATGATGCTGCTGGGGCGACCGCCCGGGCCGCCGTCGACAAAGAGGGCCGAGTACATGTAGGTGTCGAGCGGGATGAGGCAGTAGAGCTCGATCAGGGACGAGACAAGCAGCGGGAAGACGACGAGCAGGAAGAAATAGCAGTAGACAAGCTTGGCGGCTCTGGTGGCCACGGCGGCGGCCTTGCGCGCTGCCGCGTGGTCCCGGGCGGCCGAGGCTGCCTTGGAAACCCAGTCCTTGGACTTGCTGCACAGCCTGCCGAGATGGAAGAGTCCGTAGGCCACCGAGCCCAGGACGTAGATGCCGATGCTGAAGGCGTAGATGTCATTAGTCCGGATATGGGAGGGAATCAGCATCTTGAAGACACGGCGGCCGAAGACGAGGGGGATGATGGTGAGGCTGACGCCCGTGACGGCGGCAAAGATCCAGATGGACAGGATGAAGAGGAAGACGCGCACGCGGAAGTGCGGCGGGATGTATACGAGCTGGTAGCTCTCGCTCGAGTAGAGGTCGGCACCAACGCCTACGTCGGGCAGCCCGTCATCCCGCACGTTGGCCTCGGTCACGTCGAGGAAGACTCGCCGGCCCTTGGGCACCTTGACCTGGTCCGATGCCGGGGTCCGCACGAAGTGGCCGTCGGGCACGATCTGCTTCGAAAGCACAAGCAGGCGCTTGCGCAGCGCGAGCGCTTCCAGCTCCTCGGGCGACATTTCGGCCGTGGTGCGTGGCTTGTCCATGTCGAACAGCTTGTGCCACTGCTTGGGCACCACCTCAGCCCCATCGTCGACCTCGAGGAAGAGCCTACGCCAGAAGGGCAGCTTGCGGGCATCAGACGTGGCGCCCAGCATAAGCGCACCCTCTTCATCGATGCGACGCTCGCCAAACAGGAACCAGGTAACGCGCAGGGCCCGAGCGCAGCGGCGGAACCACCACGTGTACATGGCGTGCAGCCCGTCACTGGGGCGGAAGAAGTTGACTGCGAGCGGCATCAGGAAGTTATAAAAGAGCAGATCGATGGGGAACTCGAGCACGGGCTCGTTGGACGAGTAGTGGATGGGCAGCACGCCAGGGAGCGACGCCCACAGGCCCCAAACGACGCCACCCAGGCACACCATGACCAAGGCGCCGTACACAAAGGCCGAAAAGAGGATCTTGCGTAGCTGCGTCGTAACGTTGCGCTCCAACACATCGCGGACCGGATGGAACTCGGGGTCGTCGGGGTCTCGGATGAAGTCTGGAGGGTAGAGCCAAGTCAGTCAAGTTAAGTGCCAAACCGACTGGCTGGCAGATGGATAGGTCGGATGGGCATGATGAGATGGTGGGAACAGAGAACAAGGACTCACACAAAACGCCCTTGCGCATAATCTTGCGACACATGGACACAAACAGGGCGAAGTGGAACATGTAGCCCGTCCCGACGAACCAGTGCACAAACATGGATGTGAGCGGGTAGTTGTACGTGAACAGCACCCTCGACCGCAGCGTCGTCTTCTCAAACAGCGGCAGCAGCGCCACGTCAAGCAACAGGCCACAGTACAGCGGGAAGATGAGCATCTCGATGCCGATGATGAGGATCACCTTCATGACCCCGCTGGCCTGGTTGAGCCCATCCACGATGGACGCCTCGCGCTCCTGGCCCGATGCGCTGGTCGAGAAGGGCCGCCCGCGGTGCAGGTACAGTGCCGCCGCCACGCAGAGTGCCAGATAGCCGCCCAGCACCGCCCAGAACCGGTCCGTACCGTCCCAGAAGGCGAGATCTGGGTTCACGGCAGCCGGCGCCTCGGCCGGGCTGAGGTTGATGACCCAGGATCCGGGGTCTGCCAGCACACTGGGTATCTCCCTGAGCCCGCCCCACGCGGCGCTGGTCGCGTTTCCCACAAAGGACGCCACCTCGCCACTCTTGCTCGAGTAGTCGCCCCCGAAGACGAATGTAAGCCCACGGGAAACCGCGTAAAAGACTAGGGCGATGTTGGCTTTTATGGAGAGCAGGGCATCATGGCTGACGGCCGAAAAGTTGCGAATCTCGCTGGTCGAGATGACAGGCGGATCGACCGTAAAACTTTCGACAATGCGGCGCGCCGCGTCGAGCGACATGTAGTACGACGCGCGCACGAGCGGCATCACGTAGCGCCGAGATAGGCTCTGCAGCGCCAGCAGCGGACTGACCATGTTGGCAATTCGAAGAGCGAGCCATGACGCCATGCCGGCCGCCACGAGGGCGCAGTCTTGCACGAGCTTGACGGTGCTGAAGACGATGCGCACCGGACGCATCGGGTTGGCCAGCACCCAGACGCATACGCGGCCGATGTTATAGGGCACAAAGATGCCAGCAAACACCGTCACCGACACCAGGAACGAGCAGAAGACGGCGTTTTGGAAAAGCCCAGCAAGGGGCCCGCGCATGCCTAGCAGCTCCATCACGCCCTCAAAGTCCTCGGCATCCTCGATGGCTTCGGGGTCCATGGCAGCGACGGCCTCCTGGACGGCCTCGGCGTCGCGCTGTAGCTGTTCCCGTTGTCGCTGCAGTTCTGGGCCCTCCATGGCCGCAGGAGCGCCCAAATCCGGATGCTCTTCGTCACGCGCCTCGTCGTCACCCCCATGCCCATCCTGGCCGTCATGCTCCATCAACTCGCCCAGTCCGAACTCATGGTCTGGGTCCCCCAGAAACGCCCTCACGCGAGCGCGCTGCTCTGCGCCTCCGGCGGCGGGGTCAACGCCCCGCCACATGAATTCGGCCAGCCTCTCTATGATCCCCGCAGGCTGCCTCTCTTCGTGAGGCTGCTGCCGGCCCTCTTGTGCTGCCGGGTTTATCTGCATATCATTGAAATCGGGGAGGTTGACCCATGCTAGCGTTTCTCCCTCGCCAGACACATCCGCCGCAGATGGCTGCGTTTCTTGAGAGGCCGGTGGCGAGACGATTTCCTCATCGTCGGCTTGCAAGTCAGATGATGACGGAGCCCACTCAGTCCCGCTCGCATCAGCTGGCACAGCACGTGCCGAGGAGCTTGACGACGGCTGGTCCAAAGGCGAAAAGGCCCATGAGTTGTTTGCCAGCGGGTGCACTCCATCATGGATCAAAGGCCCATCCGTGTTTGCCCTTGGTCGGGGAGCGACGACGTGGTCAGGTAATGAAGGTACCTCTTCCACTGCCTTCTCTTTGCCCTTGGCTGAGGGGACTGGCGCAAGTGCTGCGGGTGGCGGGTTTGAATCGGGTTGAACGCCAGCCTCGGCTTCTTTACCTTTGATAGTCGACGGACCATCTTCTTCCCCAGCTGAGTCGGTGGGAATGGTCCAGTCTGACGAAGACTGATCCGAATCGTGGGAAGAAACGGGCTCTTGCTCAGTAACGGAGGGTGTGCATTCATCGCCTTGCTCCGGTACGTCGCGATCCACGGTCTGGGTCTGCCGGTCGTGTGGCACCGACGATTGCTCAGAGCTCGGGCCAGACTCACTTGCTGCCATACTCGCCTCCTTCTCTCGCCTCAGTCTCAGCCACGGCTCGGCCCTGGCCCCCTGGCCGCGTTCTTGGAACAGTCTGGCCATCTCGTCTGAATCGCCATGAGCCTCGTGGTAAACGCGCGTGAACTCCCTAACCGAAAGCGGCTCCACAAATCCCAGGTGGCGGCCCGCTGGGCCAACCATATCGTCCTGGGACCCGTGCGCCTGAGGCATGTGCCCAGCCAAAGTTCCAGGTGTGCCTTCGCTGGGCAGCGCACGCTCCGCTCTCGCGGTACTCGACTCCTCTCCGTTGTCAATAGCAAGCTGAACAGGGCGCCTGCGATATGGGGGTATGGGCACTGGCACATAAGTCTCTGCCGCGAGACGCGCACGGGGTTGCCCTCCTCGGATAGCTGACCCATCCTGAGCTCGATCCGAAGCCATCGACGCGGTATCATCGTCTGAATCATCGTCGAACTCGATAGGGTCGGGGCCCCTAAGCGCAGCGATATCTTCGGCGCGGAGGCCGGCGGCGGGGTCACCCATCAGACCAGCTCGCGCGCCTCGGTTCTCGGCAGCAGCGAAGGCTGCGCGCATATTGATCTCGGGCTGCTGTAGTACGACGTAGTCACGGACCAGGATAATGAGAATGAAGCACAGGATTACCAGGACGGTGATGATCTGACCCTCGGCCACATAGATCAGGTTCCTGTTCAGCCATGGCAACGGCGTGATGTTGTTGAACAAGGCAACGTCCCCGAGAAGTGAGCGCTGTGGCGCCGGTTGTCTAGGCATGGTTTGTGTTACGATGGGCATGGACAGGGCATCGGAGGAGGTGGTGGGGGCGTCGCCGACCAGTCCGACACTGGAGAGAACCAAATGCAAAACTTGGGCGTGTAGGGGAGTGCCAAGAGGGCTGCTGGACACGTCGAGGGTTTTGCCGCGTGGGAGTTCGCCGGTAGGAATCACTGATGCCAAAAGAGGGGTCGATGGACAGACGGCGCGAGCGGCGGCGGTCACGGCATCGCGGCCGACGGGGCACATGCAGCCCTGGGTGCTGGCATGAGCAAGGATTTGGCTGGCAGCTCCGCCTCCAAAGCCCTCGTCGCTAATCCAGAACATCAGCGACCATATCGACCTCATAAGGTATGGCAGGCAGACAAGCCAGATCCCGGCGACCAGGGCGGCGCGCAGCCAACCCAGCATGTTGGTGAGCAGGTACTTGACGACATGGGAGACGAAGACGGCGAATGGCAGGGTCTGGGGCATGCGGCGGTCGTAGAGCTTTGTGAAGCGGAACGGAGTCTTGCACAGCTCGCAGTGCTTCTTTTGAGAGTGCGACAGCCACTCCATCAGACAGTTTTGGTGGACGAACTTGATGCTACCGCTGCACTTGCACGGGTAGAAGAGCGGCTCATCCTCGGTGGCCTCTCCACGACATATGCGGCACGTGTCGGGGTCTGCGGCGCCCGCGAGGTCTGGCGAGTTGGCGGCATGGTGGGCAGCCTGGGCCCTCGCCTTTTGACTGCTATTGGAGAAGCGGCGGCGGGCGTGGGTGATGGGCTCCGGGTCGGCGAGCAGCACGGCGTCGGCTAGCGGATCGTCCATGGTTTCTGTCTGCGCAAGAAGATGGTCGTTTCAAGGGCGCGCCATCCGACAAAGAAGGGTGGGGATGTCTCGCTGGCTCAGCCAGATCGGTCTATGGGCCTCGGGCGGCTGGAGAATGGCAGGAAATCGAGGGGCGCCAGGCCGGGCGGCGCGGCTTGTTCGGGTGGTGTCGGTCTGCCCCAGCCCGGGGGTCTGAGTTGGTGTTTGTGGTCAATTCAGCGGAAGGGATTGAAGGCGCAGCGTGCTTGCCCGTCGGCCAGTCGAGGCAGGGAGGCTACGCAGCTGGACGGCTGGGCGCAGACAACTCGATGCTAGGCGTGGGTCGAGCGATGAGAGAGGCCTCGTGTTGTGTGGTCGGTGGTGGGTTTCGCCCGTTTGCGGTGGACGGAACTACCGGGGACGTCGCCGCCCGCAGTGGCGATTTAAAACCACGGTCGTGGAATGCAGGTAGGGTTAACGAGGTTTTCGTCGTCGTTGCAGACAGCACTGCTGCACGCGGCATGGAACCTCGGAGCCGCCACTAGGTACTGATGGTCGGTTCGCTGCCGGCTTGATCTGGCCTTCCAACAAACCCAAAGCCAAAAAAAAGGGTTGAGCGGGCCACCTTGACAGTGACGAATGATGGTGACGAATGACAGTAACGAATGACGGCGGCGAGAGGAGCCAGGCGTTTGTCTGGCTGTAGGTGGGTCCATGAGTGTGGCTGACGGGCACTTGTGGCTGTACCGCTTTGCCATCCAATGACGTCGACCCTGCTTTGTGAACAGACAAAAGATCAGATCCTCCATGTCACCATTGGATTGAAGTCATACTGAGAAGGCATCCAGCGATATCCAGTCTCACCAACCTAGCAGCTTCGGCAAACATCGACGAGAAATGGGTGGCCCCATTTTGGATTCATCGTGTCCACTCTACTTGCAATCCACGATTAGTCTGGAAGAAATATAACGATCCTTTACTGGCACCTGCTGGATTGCAATCGCAACTCTCGGCGGCAAATGAATTATGTCAGTGTCTGAATCAAACACCTGTATCAATGGACCATGGCCAGCAGCCGAGCCAACCACGTTGCGCCCCCAAAACACCAACGAGACCCCCGCCAAGGCACTGCTGGCACAAGGCAGGACAAATCGACACACCACTCGCTCTAGCGCCATTCTGCGGACGTCATCTCGCTTTCCCGACGAGCCACAATGTGTGTTTGAATGCATGAGAAGCGCAGCTGGCAAACATAGGAAATGATCGCTGAGGGGAGGAGGTGAAAGGCATGAGGTGTGCAACCACAGATTCGCATTCAGTGGTGGTTATAAAACAAGGCGTGCTAGTCCGCTCTGTTCACTCTGTCTACTCTGTTTGCATGTGCACCGCACTATATCGATGCTCGACTAGCAGCAGCTCTAGTTTCCCACCAGCACCAGACGCCTGCCATTGCTCCGGCCACACGTCCCTCAGTAGAGTCCGGTCGGCCGTCCAAGTCGACCTCGACGGTCAGGATGCGGTACGTTGATGTCGTCGGTCTGCTCCACCAGCACTGGCGGCGTGTTTGAAGCGTGGAATCTGGGGAACGGAAATGGATCATTGATCTGGATCCCTCCCCTGCCCCATTGACATATGCTTATCAGCGAGCCGTCAGCGCGCCCCACTCGCACAACCGTGCTCGTGCTCGTGGGCCAATTCGCTTGGCGGCATCCTGGAAAGCTCCAGGTGGCCACCTTGGGCTTTTTTCCTTGTGCTTGAATTCCCTTCACGCCCATCACCTCCTCCACCATCAACCATCACCCAGGGCCATCGCCATCTGCAACGGCGCTGTGCTTCCCATGACAAATGGCCAGTCCGCCCGAGCGACGGACTCTTTGCTAATTGCTGACTGACTCGAACCGCACCCACGCCTCGCGCGCCTCTCGCACACGACTGCACTTTTAGACGAGCGCTTTCCGTTATCAACGTCTCGGCGTCCGACTCGCCCCAGCACTGGCTCTCTCGACCCGCCTGTCTTCGGCCTGGTGCTGAACAGGACCCTGCCAGCATGCCTGCCAACGGCCCAAAGTCCAACGGCTCTGTCCGATCCAAGCCCCCGCGATCCTCCAAAGCCGCAACACCCGTAGTAGCCCCCTCGGCCAACGGCCATGTGGTCAAGGCCCCCAGGGGGACACCCGCGCCGCCACGATCCGGAGGCGTCCTATCGACCCTCTTTGGGCTCGGCGCAAGGCTGCTGACCTGGTACGCCATTATCACAATCCTCTTCCGCTGTCCCGAGACGCTCGACCGTTGCACCGAAGCCTCGCCCGCCGTCTGTGTGCCCTACTTCCAGCTCAAGCACATCGTCGTCCCCCACGTCGAGCCCTACTACAACACCTACGCCGCCCCCTACGTCAAGACGGCCCGGCCCTACTATGACGCGGTCGACCGCGCCGTCCTGACTCCCGCCCGGGGCTACGCAGTGAAGTACGGCGCGCCCGCCGCCGCCAAGGCCCAGGCCCTCGGCCACGCCCAGTGGCAAAAGACGGTCCAGCCCCAGCTGCTCAAGTACCAGGCTCTGGCCCGCGCCAAGTACGACGCGTCGCTCGCCCCGCATGTCGACCGCGCCTCGGCCGCTGCCGGGCCCTACTACGACATCGCGCGCACCAGCGCTCTGCAGACATATCATGAGGTGATCCTGCCAACCTACGACTTCGTCCAGCCCTATGCCCTTCAGGGCTATGCCGCTGCTTCGCACTTCGCCATCAACACGGCTGTCCCTTCGGCCGTGTGGGCCTGGAACAAGACGTACATCTTCCTCGACAGCAGTGTCTGGCCTCAGGTGAGGGTAATCTACACGGACACGGTCGAGCCGCAGTTGGTCAGGATAGGCAAGCGCCTCGGGAGGTACAACAATACTGGTGCCCAAAAGGCCTCGTCCGAACCCTTCTCCAAAACCATCTCGAGCAAGGCGGCATCATCCTTCACCAGACCCACGGCCTCGACAACCCCGACCAGCGCCGCCTACTCTGCGCCGCCCGTCGTGAGCTCGGCCAGTTCGGCCATCAGGTCGGCTGCGTCGGCTATCAGCAGCTCCATCGCGTCGGCCGTCAAGCCCGCGGCGACGCCGCTGCCCAAGTTTAGCGATAACACGCTAGAGCAGATCGAGGCGCCCGAGGCCGACGATGACGAGGAGGAGAAACGGCGGATAGCGCGCGAGACGGTGGCCGAGGACCTCAAGCGCTGGCAGGAGAAGTACACCAAGGCTGCCGACGAGGGTGCGGCCGAGATCCAGGAGCGCGTCAACGAGATCGCCACGCAGATGGCCGATCACGAGATCCACGGCACCGGCCAGGCGCTGGTGACCAAGCTGCAGGCGTCGCTCGTCTCGGAGCTGGTGACGCTGCGCCGCCGCATCATCGAAGTTGTCGGCTCTGTCCAAAAGGGCTCGGCAACGCCAGTTGCGGGCGAGGAGCAGATAGTCAGCGCCGTCCGGGCGAGCGGGCTGCAAATCAAGGAGCGTGCCGGCGCCGTGCGCACGTGGCACGAGAACTTTGACGACGAGGTCCGCACGCAGGTGACGGCAGCGGCCGACAGCCACTTTGAGATACTTGGCTCCATCCGCGACCTGGCGCTGCAGAAGATCGGCATGAAGTGGGCATGGATGGACGGCATCACCTACAAGGACTGGGCCAAGTACCATCTGCTCAAGACGCGATTTGACGAGTGGGCGCAGGATCTCGAGAAGCTCGTCGTCTCGCACCCGGGACTAATCGAGTGCCAGAACGAGGCCCAAGCCATTGAGGACCGGGCCATGGAATTGGCCTCCAACGCTGCCAGGGAGCTTGGCCGACTCAAGCAGGTCGCTCTCCTCAAGCTATCCATCCTCGATGACAGCAACGAATTTGACTCGGCAAAGACCCAAGCCGCTTATGAGGCCGCGCAGAAGCTCAAGTCCCAGCCAGCGCCAGTGTCTGAGGCCGAGGAAGATACTCGAGAACAGTCCAAACCGGCAGACGCTGCGGACACGCAAGTGCCGGAGCCTGCTGAGAAGGCCCTTGAAGGCGCGGCCTCTGCATCGGCTGCAGGCTCGGCGGCCAGCGAGCAAGTTTCGTCTGTCGCCGCCCCCGTGTCCGCTGAGAGTGTCGTATCGTCGCTGAGCTCAGCCTTTAGCAGCGCATCAGAGAGTGCGTCGGAACGGGTCTCCAGTCTTGTCGATGGGACCCCGTCGCCGTCGTCTGCTGGTGCCTCCAGTGGGTCCATCTCTAGCTCAACGCGGCCGCTTGCCTCGGCCAAGATTGTGGCAGACGCTCCTGTAATTGTCGCCAACGCTAGTGAGACTACCTCTCCCGACTTGGGAGATGCCAACAAGCCAGCGCCTGTGCCCGTGCCGCAGTCTTCCGACGACTCCATGGCGCAGCTCCCAGAGGACGACCAAGACGATGAGGAGGTTGAACTTGACCAAGCGCCGCCCGCACAGACTGCTTCGGCGGTCAAGCCTGCCATATTCGGGGCCGCGGCTCAAGCGGTACCCAGCCGGAAGCCCATCATCGACGATGATACGGTGGAGTCTATCAAGCAAGCTGGTGTAGACGTGCCAGCCAAGATCTCGTCGGTGGCTTCCTCAGCCTACTCTGTGGCTATGTCACGCGCTTCGGTGCAGTACGACTCGGCGCTGTCGCTTATCTCGGCCAACATGCAGGGTACTCCGCTGCCCATGCACTCGTCGCTTCTCTCGTCCGTGTCGGCTGCATACAGCAAGGCCGTGGCGTCGGCTAGCTCCCGCCTCGGCGACGCCGTACACTCGGCCGAGAGCATCTACGGCGCCGCCTCCACCAAGGTTGCGCCTACACCAACTCCGACCCCTTACGTCGACTGGGCCGCCATCGAGACCATCGCTGCCTCGCGCTTGAGCCAGGGACGCGCATGGGCCGAGGAGCAATATGAGAGCGCCAAGGTGGCCATCGGCGTGGCCACCCCGACGCCCACGTCACCCGTCGATAGGCTGCTGCAGAATGCCCAGTTCAACTACTACGCCGGGCTAGGCGTGGCGCACGCGCGCTACTCCGAGTTCCTGGCAGCCGCGTCGTCGGCTTACAGCTCGCTGACGGCCTCCCCGACGCCGACCGACGTTGCGGGAACCGTCTCGTCTGTTGCGTCGGTCGCCAGCGAATCCGCCGCCTCGGCCGCCTCTGTCGTCGGCGAGAACGTGGCGGCTGCCGCCGCAGCGGGCTTCGACAATGCGTCGTCTGTGGCTGACGCTGCGGGGAGTGCTGTCTCGGCCAACTGGGAAGCCGTCGTCAGTCAGCTGAGCGCGCGCGTCTACGGAGCACCGACACCGACGCCGTGGTACGAAAGCGTCTACAGCGCGGTGGGTGAGTACGCCGCGGCAGCCACTGGGGCCGTCGGCGGCAGCGCCTCGAGTGCTACGGATGCTGCCGGCTCGGCGGCGGCGACGGCGTCGGCCGAGGCTGCAAAGCAGTACGCCGTCGTCAGCAGCATCGTGTCGGAGCTGCTTGTCGGCAAGGAGCAAAGCTTCTCCGAGAGCGTCTTTTCCCGACTAGGAGCGGCCTACGCTGAGGCTACCGCCACGGCAAAGTCTGCCGGGGACAAGGCGGCTAGCGTAGCTAGCGAGGCCACCGAGGCCGCAAAGAGCGCCGCCGATCGTGTTCGGGATGAGCTTTGAGTATTTTTGACCGACACATGCACTCTTTCTTTCCTTTCCTATAACTCTTATATGCCCTTTCAAGAGGAGGCCATGGGCTACAGGTGTACGATGAGAGATTTGCGAGCAGCAAGGGACCTGGTAACACCCGTGAAATGTCTAGGTAGACAGAATACGCAGAGGCGAGGAAGAAGGCGGTTGAGGCACACGAAAAGATAATAAGGATACAAGCCCAGCGGGAGCGCCTGGTGGCGGGCGTCCTGAGCCCGCCGAACACCACACGCCGCTACGACGAGATTGGCCGATCGGGGAAAAGGAGGAAGGTTACTGCGGGTGGGATTTCTCAATTTTATCATTTTCTTTCTCTCGTCCTTGTTCATCTGGTCTGCAATTTCTCCGGGGATGTTTTTTTTTTTCGGACGGTCTCTTGCTTCCATGTATCTCTAGCCACCATATCAAATACCCACTCCCAACGGTTTTGGCTTTTTAGGTGTGTCAATCTGTGCTGCTTTCCTGGCCGACCGACGTGGTACATTGTACTGCTCGGCGAGCCGCCTGTGTGCTTGCTTCCTCTGTGAATGTTGGTCGATCGACCTTATGGCTTGGTAAGGCTAGCGTTGTCCTCCCCTGTCGCCTTCCACGTCCAAACACGGCACGTCCCTTCATCGATGATGTCAATTGTTTGGTGACTGACATCACTGCCGCTTAGCGCGACCGCAGCTGCCTGGAAGCAAACAAGTGATGTGCGATTATGACGGCATTTTGACACGCCAGACTCAAATGCCGGCTGCTGGGTGGTACCTGCCTGGAGGGTAGGTACCAGATGGGCAGCACATAAAAGCCATCCAACATAAACCCACTCTAGGTGCTTTCGAATCCCAGGTTTCATCCCGCCAACGTCTCTCTCGTATCTACACCACCTATTTACATTAGCAGCACCATCCCGTCCAGATATTTGACCTTCTCGCCTAAACCAATCCTCCATCATGGCCAACACCAACCCCGGAAACTTTGCCAACCGGTAAGCACCAGCGCCCCAGCCGTCACGTCCGACTCCACTGCCACACCGTGTTTCGCTAACCAGGACCATCACCTTCATCGGCAGCCCCAAGGAGGAGGTGCTGGCTGCCGCATCAAAGGGCGGAAAGGCCTCGTCCACTGCGACGGAGAGCGCCCCCGACGACAGCGGAACCGGCAAGCAGGGCTTCGCCAGCATGGATCCCGAGCGTGTGGTAAGCAGGGCCCTCGCACACATCTCACGCACCTTCCAATAGCACGCTAACGCCGAGTCCGTTCAGCGCGAGATCGCATCAATGGGCGGAAAGGCGGCGGCGGCGTCGAGGGCGGAAGGCAGCCCCGACGAAGACGAGACCGGCAAGCAGGGCTTTGCCAGCATGGATCCCGAGCGGCAGGTAAGCAGGACAAATGCCTCCCCACGCTTCCACAGTCGCACGCCCGTCCTCTGACAACGTACACTGCCAGCGCGAGATCGCGTCGATGGGCGGAAAGGCGTCCTCGGGCTCATTCAAGCCGGGCGAGTGGAGGGCGAAGGAGGCCGGCCACAAGGGCGGCCTGGCCTCGCACGGCGGCGGAAGCTCGTGAGCGCCTCGTCCGCTTGTGCTGCGTGAAAAGGGACATTGGTCTTTGTGTTATGGTCTCAACAGCTAGCTACCAACATTCCTGCGTTGATGGCCTAGAATGGATGGTTTTCCAAGACAGTTCGGACTTGTCCTTGTGCTCGTGCCTCGGTCTGCTGCTTCATCTTGGTGCCGCGTGTAATGTTTCCCGATCCCACACGTAGTGGGAGCAGTGACGCCCATGAGTGGCACCTACGTCCTCACAAGCCGCGGCTCTAGATGTTGGCCTGCTGTGTCTTATCACTAGACATCCCATCCCTCAGCGCCGAGCCTACCCAAGCACCAGCAGAGCGCCCTCAGAGTTCTAAACGAGACGACGCCAGATCCGGTCCCGATGCATGGCTCTCGTCCTGTTCCGGTCAAGGTTGGCTGGAGGTAATGCCCGTTTTCGTCTTTCGCCATCCCCGAGCCCCGGGCGTCATCCCAAGTCTGCCCGTGATCGGATTGCGTCTCCCAACCCGCCCCCAATCACGGAACATGAGACGAGCACAAAGAGCAAACACCCCCCTCTAACGACGGGATAAGAACCTTTTTTTTTCTTTCTTCGCTTCTGCTTGGACCTTGCATATGGACCGCCCATCGTCCCCCTCCCACCCTGCGCCGGCACCGGGGCAAATGTTCCGAGCGCAGGCCCTCTCCTCGCACGTCCGTTCCACCTTCTTTGACAGGCGGGCACACACCCCACCATGCCGGGGATTTCCCACCACCCATCTGCAAGCTGCAACCCTTGCTCTTCATACTTGTCTTATGCTTGGGCACTTCTCGTCCACCCCCCAGCAAAAAGTATGTCAAATGAGGGCCGTATTGACCAGAAATCTTGCTCGGGTCGGGTTCCGACGTGGATTGACCGCGAAAAAGTGTGAAAGTTGCTTCTTTTCTATATTTGAAATACGCCTGCGCTGTGTGTCCGCTTACCACGTCACGTTCCTGTCCTTATCCAAGGCGAGGGCCGCATGTGGAGGAACGAGACCAGAATAAAGTACCTGATTCGCCGTGGGTGTCATCGCCGGCAGGTACATTACCCATGTCCTGGTTTTGGGCCTCCTATGACGAATGCGCTTGCATCCCAACCGGGCCGCCGGGAAAAGCTCACAAGCCTCGTTAGGTTACCCGAATGCGCGTGGACTCTGGACAATCTCATCCGTCTTGCAAGAAATTACGGATTTCGGCTGATTTCGAGAAAGGTGGCGCCGTGTTCACAAGACTGCGGGGGTAACTGTATTTCTCTGTCATACCTAATTACCCCATTATCTGGCCTCCAAAGCGGTCGTAAGTTCAGGATAAACGTAAAGGGAGGAGAAATAAAGAAGAAACAACAACCATCCATGCCGACCATGGGCCGGGCAGTTATTAGATGGAGCATGGGTATGATGATAGATAACAACAAGAGGGGTCCGTGTTGAAGTCAAGATACAAAGGAAAATGTCTATTGCTTCCAGCCACCAGGCAGCTAGGGAAACATGATGCTCGCGGCCGTCTTCATATTTGGCCCGGTAATGGGCTTCTTCTCCCTCCGTGGCTCGTCCGAGTCGCTCGAGTAGACGCTAGAGCCGCCCTCGCTGGCGGCGGCAGACAGGAGCATCGAGTCGCGTAGGCTGTCCGAGTCGCTATCGCTGCCGCTAGCGAGAGTGCCCGTCTCCGACATGATCTCGTCGTTGCCGGCCTCCTTCTCAACGATGGTCACACGCGGCTTGGCAAGGGTAGCCTTCACGGCGGGGGCATTTTCGGTTGCGCTGACAGTGGCGGCGACGGTGTTGTGGCTAGGCTTTCCGCTAGCGACCAGACCTGCGATCCTGATCTCCTCCTCTTCAATCTCACGCGCGGCCGAGGCCATGCGGTCCAGAATAGGGCCCTTGCCATCGCGCAGGACGCAGTCGAAGTCGAAGCGCAGCGGCTTGGCAATAAGCAGAGACGAGTACGAGTTCCAGTGGACAGGGATGGGCTTGCCGTCATAGCCGAGCTTGTGGCGGATATGAAAGGCCCAGGCGAGGCCACCCATTGCGAGGAAGAGGTCCTGGTCGACGATGGGAACACCCTGGCACGTGCGCCGTCCAAAGCCGAATTGACTGTATCCGGCCAGGTTGGGGTAGATGGTGAGGGGTTCCTTGTAAGTTGGGTACGATGGCTCCAGCCAGCGTGCAGGGTTGAAGGCCTCGGGGTCGGGGTACGTCTCCTCGTTGCGTGTCAGGGACCTGGGTGGTAATCGTCAATATCAACACATAGCAGTCAATCAAGAGTCCTGGAGTAGGGACTTACCACTCCAGCGAGTGCATGGTGGCGCCCTTGGGGATGAAGTAGCCGTTATAGACGTCGTCCTTCTCGCTCGCGTGTGGGATGCCGGTGGGAACAGGTGGGCGCCAGCGCAGGGTTTCCTTAACCACGGCGCGCAGCATGGGCAGCTGCTCGCGGTCGTCCCACTGCGGGCAGCGTCCGCCAAGTTGGGTGTCGATTTCGCTCTGGAGGCGCGCGAGCCAGTCGGGGTAGTGCAGCATAGCAAGGAGGAAGCTCTGGATGGGGCTGCCAATGGTGAGGGCGCCGGCGATGGCCATTTGGCCCACGACATATGTCGCTTCAGCCACGTGCGCGTCGTCCTCGGCCTTGCTGCCGCGCGGGTTGCGCTCGAGCTCCTCGAGGAAGGTGCGAGTAAAGCTAGGGACGGCCGTGTTGTTGGCCATGGCCGCCTTGACGTCCGAGACGTTGCCCACCAGCAGCTCCTTCTCGCGTGCGTGCCGGGCCTTCTCCCTCTTCTGCCAGGGGCTCAACTTCAATGGCAGGTGACCGAGCCAGGCGACGACGTTGGGCAGCGAGCCGCCGGGCGAGATGGTTTCAAGCAGGCCAAAGGTGGTCTCACGGAGCGTGGCCTGGCGGTGCGGCGATCCCCATGACAGACGCGAAACGGTGCGGGCGGTGAACTGCTCGATCCACTCGACATAGTTGCCACAGTCCAGGGCCATGAGCTGCAGGAACCGGTCGCGCTCGCGGGTCGGGTACGAGTGCAGACCGCCCTTGGCGCTAGTTGCCATCATCTGGTTGCACAGCTTGCGCTGACGCTTCCACGTCTCGTTGTTGCCAGCCAGCGCGAGGTAGTCACCGCTGGTGCGGTTGTCAGGGAGGTTCGGGATGGTGGGTCGGTCCGAGTAGATGGCCGCGCGCCGCGAGAGCAGGTCTTGGACTATCTGCTCCGACGAAATCCATACGTGCACATGGCCGAACATCTCCATCTGGTAAATGGGACCGTACTTCTTACTCCACTCATGGAACTTGAGCCATGTCATGACAGGCGGCACGTCATGGACACGCCCGATCAGAGGGAGGCCTGTAATTGGTGCGGCGTGAAACGGCCAGGAGTCAGTCTGAAGCTCACCCAAGTCTATGTATAGGCACTCTGCGCCTATACTTGGACGACAACCGATCCAACTGCAACCGAGGCGCACTCACCCTTGGGTCCCGGCAGCGGCTTGGAGCCCTGGGGCAGCTTCTCTTTTCTCCTGTGGCCCCAGTACAGCTTGGCGATCAGGACGCACCATGCCCCTATCAGGCACATGAACGGCGTTGACGCCATGACTGGAGGCTGGTCACTGCCTTGTCCTGTCCTGTGCCCAGCTGCTCCGTTGCTGCCGTCTATGTTTGTGTTTTTAAGATGCTGTTTTGTCGGTGAGCAGCGAGTTGCTTAGACAGATGCAGGGCAGCAAGCCGGGGCTTCTTGGTGCTGGGAGTAGAGAGGGACAGAGAGCCAAGTGCTTCTGGCGCTGCCAGAGTCGACGTTGAACAAGATCGACCGTTAGGGACAGAAGAATGGAAGGGAGTGACGAAGGAGAGGGGGAGCCGAGCAGAAGATGAAATGAGAACAGGGCGATAATGTAGACCCTGCTCGAGGTCCCGTCATGTAGCCCAGTAAGGAGGCAGGGGGATATGTGACAAGGGTTCACCTGGGGGAAAGCCCACCAGATCGCCCTCCCCTTGATGCCCCCATCCGGGCTCGGGCCCGAACCCATCAGGCAGGCAGCGGCTGGGGAGGGCAACCGATGCCTGCAAAGTTCGAGTCTCGGTTTTGGGTTGGCCGGTAAAAGGCAGCACAGTCGACCGAGACATCCTGCAGCAGCATGCGGCTGGTGTGTCAGAGGTACGAGATGGGGCTACCTTGACGGGAATAGCCCACTGTGGGACGACAAGCTATGACATGGGGGCATGTTGGTCTCGCCATCAAGGCCCAGGGAGCAGTGGCTGCATGCCAAGGAGGCAGAAGCAGCAGCAACAGTACAGTAATGCAGGGAAGAGGGAGGAGGATAGGAGCAAGCACAAGCCCTGGCCTGCTACGTGCGAGGTCGGTGGTTCTCGAGCCATGGGGCACGAGCCCGAGCCCAGTCTTGCTCGCAGCTGGAGATGACTTGGGCGATCTTGGTCGTAAGTTGGCCACATGCAGCCGGCTCTCGACTGAGATGAGCACGTCCCGGTCTGTCTCACGAGAGGCTTCTTGCCGTGGCTATCGCTCCAGTACGAGGCGCCACAGCCGGTCGTTGGCAAGGGGTCAAACGGTTTGTGAGCTCGCTGGCACAGGCTAACTCAAGGGGAAAACAAGCCTGCGAGAGCCCATAGTACCAACGCAATCCTCTGGCTTCCCCGCCAGGGCGCTAGTGTCTCTAACGCATGGCCGCCCGCCCTCAAAAATGTGGATCTACGTTGTTTTTAGTATCGAGGTGGCCGGTAATGGCAGGCAAGGATAGGAACGGTGAAAAAGAAGCCGCGAGTGCGGTGTGCAAGACATGGATGCGAGGCGGAGGTGGCCCTGATAAACTGCGTCGGGAAAAAAAGAAAGATTGCGCTCATGGTTTGAGTCGTAAAGATTCGCTAACCAAGATGGGGATGGGGTGATTGCTATCGAGGGCTCTAATCGGCTTGTCCTCGGACATCTCGTGAGCTGTGAAATTACGACGGTAAGCACAGCTGGGGCGGCCAGACGGGAAATGCCCTTGGCATGTCGTCAAGGTGGGTGGCATGGGTTGGTGGTCAAAGTGCTGGAGGGAGAGAAAATGAGGGGGGAGCTGGGATGACGACGCTGCAAAGCTGCCGAGGAGCCGACTGGCCAATGCTACGGCGGCAAGTGGGTCTTGCGATGGAAGAAAGAACCGAACATGACGCCGGCCACTCTTTGATGTTCCAATAATTCGTGGTCATGTCTTTTGGTGCGCCACCTGGAGTACAGAGCAGGGCAATGCCGCCGCGCCTGGGCACCAAGGAGCTTAGACTTTGCGGGAAAGGATCGCCGGCTATCGAGACCGCCACCTGCTTGAGCCTGTCGAGCAGACAGGCGCAATTCGGGCGTCATCGGCAGACTGTGCTGTGCAGCTGCACACTTGATGTTGCCACCCGACGGGCAGGCAGCTCTTTTCGCGCACGCAAGACACAGGCAGGAGTGGGAAAAAGAGCACCGCACGTGAAAGACGGCGAGCGAAGACAATCCGGCCCGCGGCTACAGCGGCGCTTTCTCATCAGCGTATCAAGGCGCGCATGCCGTGGTTGGGCTTCGGTTTGAAGACTTGAAACTTGTTTGTCCTCCTGGATTCAGCCGCCTGCCCCCCTGCAAACGGTGAGCCTAAATTTACTATTATGCGATCGTTTGTGGGCGCCTGAACACCGCCCCACCCTCTAGCGCCCTTTTCCAACGCCACATTTCGAAAAACAGCCCCCATTCCAATATCCAGCAGATCACTGCCGTTACTGGTCGACAAATCACCACATAAAACTGCTCCCAGCTTGATCGGCAGGGGTACATGCCCTCGGTCCCGAGGCCGACCGGGGTGTCGGCGAGGGCAACAGGCAATAACGACAGCCCGATGAGCAGGACGTCCGGTCGCCGAGCCACGACCAACAACAACCAAGACGTCGCCAAGGCCCCTCGCCGCCTGTACACCGCCGGGGACACGGGCGTATGTGTTCGTATGTCTTGGGCCCGGACGGCGGCGACAAGCCCTCGTGTGGCCTTGGCTCCTCCCCTGTCAATACCATGATCCCCGAGTGCGTGCTGTGGGTAGCGCGGCAGGGCAGTCACGGCTTGCGGCTGTAGGTGAGGGCCCGGGGGCCAACGCATCCAGACTCAGCTGCCTACCTATCCGACCAGCCGCACCGCGACTCGTGTAACTGAGGGAGCCGGGGTGAAGGACTGGAAGCACATACGGCGCCGAGGGAGGGCATGGCTGTAGATTTGACAAGATTGCTGTTTCCTCTCCTTGCTCGCGAAAACCAAGACGCCTGTAAAAACGCGACTTTGTTCGTCGGACTCGGCAGCCAAGTGGCCAGCAACTGTGCTCTGGCTTGACCTGTGCTTCCCCTGCGGTTACGCATCCTCTAATCCCGTTATGGCAGCAGCGGAGAACAGCGTAACAGCGCACCGAGCAGAGGGGATTCCAGTAGCGCCATCGGCGAAGTGCTAGCGAGGCCCCTCGCGTCAATTTGCTCGCCAGCCAGTCAGCCTCACAGGTCTTGGTAGCCTTGGCCCGAGACCCAGGTCGCCAAACGGCGTCCCGTGTCATTCATCTGCCAGCCTCTACAGCCAGGAGTTCCCACAGACCGGAAACCACGACACGGAAAGCCTTGACCGCATGGCTTGGCGGCAAAATATGGATGTATTGAATGGCCTACGAGAAAATAGCGCAGCAACGGATGGAGGGGTGTGCGTCAGCAACTCCAGAGTCGCCAGGAGTTCGCATGCCTCCCGTCTGCCGCCAGGTTGCCCAAAAGTTCATGGTGGTAACTTGCATGCATAGAGGCTGACTGACAACGGACTGGTAGGATGAACCTCTCATTACATCTAACGAAACGAGGCAAGAGTGTCGGGCGTATTGACTAGCACTTGAGGAGAAATGCCAGGGGGCCTGCAGGGGTGCGGGAAATATGCCTTACAAGTGTATGCGTCTGGTTTTCGTGGATATC